TCAATGTAATTGACCAGATTACGTAAAATTGAAAATTTTAAATCATACTAGACACAATAAAGATTAAAAACCCTAATTATTGAACTCATTATGTTCAAAATATGCCGTGAAATAAATCAAATGGCGGAAAAAAAAAAAACCCAAGTTCTTACCTGATTTTGTGAACCGAAGCCTTCAATCTCCAAAAAACTCTGTTTTTCTCAACGATTATCACAAATTAGTAACAAAAGGTTTTGATTCACAGCTTTAAGATCAAAATGCCTACAAATTTTGAAAGATTCATGCCCTATTTGGCATGAAATTTCAGAAAAGGCGGAACCCTAAACACCGAATTTTTCGTGATCCAAAAACAACAAATTTTTCCACCATTTAATCCTTGAAAAAGCTGAATAAAGCTGTTTATAGCCTGCAAATCAGATCACATGCCAAAAAAAACAAGAAAAATGATAAAAAAATGACAAATTTCAAAGAATCCCATGAAGAATACTGTGCAACCCGTGTTCTTCACGGACTCGCCGATTCCGCACAGTGAATCGGCGAGTCACTGTGCGGAAACGTCCGGTTCTCTCTAGAACGGGACGATTTCCGATTTTTTCACCGATCCGGTCCCTTTTTCGAGATTTCCGAGTCGAACTGGGCGAGTCCGGTTCGACTCGGCGTTTTTTAAAACGCTCGATAAAAGTATCTAACAAAAAAGCTGACAATGTGAGTAAAAATTTAAAGAAAAAAGAAAAGGTGACGTGGTATAACAACTATGGATAAAAGTATCTAACAAAGTTTTGGGAAAACCAAAAATGACAGATACCCTAAGGGCTTCAATAAAAACCCAAAAGTGCATTCAAGGCACATGGAGGTCGCAAGCACTTATGTGAGAAGTACCTCCAATGTCTCTCCATTCCCCCTGAGAAGACCAATCTGAGCTATACAAAAGTGGCCTCAAGCAAAAGGATATGCGCAAACCATGCAAGTAGAAGAGATGTGCAAGGAAGGCAAAAGGGACCAGTCATTTCATGAATGACGAGTTACAGGTTATGGCCCATGGCCTTGAGGTGTGAAATGGAAAGAAAGATGTTCATTCTAAGCAAAAGAAGAGCACTCATCCCATGACAAAATTTGAAGTTACAAGTTGCAGCCGACCTCAAGTTACATAAGAAGAAAGAAGGAAAAACATTCATCTTCAAACAGAAATAAAGGGGCGGCACGTTATGCTCGAGGCCTTAAATAGAGAAAAAGAAAGGGAGGGAAGCGCCCTCAACGATCTCGAAGGGCTTCACGAAACATCACCATCGTCGATTCTTGTAGGATGCCTGTATGCGCTCCTCAACTTTAACCACTTCTAGGCTAAGCCATTCTGCAACTCATCCTTATGGGTCGTTTGGGACCTTGTAGATAAATATCCAGAATATTTATATACCATCTTTTGTGGGGGCGAGGTTGTTTGGCTGAACTTTTCAAGCCAAAACTCGTTTATTCATATCACCAAAATGGCCAAAACGCCTATAGAGAAAATTCAATGAAAAAGGTGGAATGACTTAACGCCGCTCGTTGGTTCAGTCGGGCTTTATGCTCACTGTCCCTGTGCAGAGCCCTTGAGAACGCCATTGATGCAAAAGTCGTGCTGCCCTGTGTTCACCAAAACAGAAGACAAGAACCACCAGAAACCATTGCTCATAACATTATCAGCAGATTGAGCTCCATTGTTGCTGAGGTTTTCTCTGAGTCGCCAACCTCCCAGTGGCCATGAAAACCATAGCTCCAGGTATGTAATGGCTGTTCTGTGAACTATTTTCCCCTAAAAAATCTCGAAAAAAAGGTTACCTTATGAGTTATTTTGTTTCTATCTTGCTAGGGCACTGTTGGTTTTTCAATCTATGAGATTTCATGAGTTTTGGAGCTATTTTCTGACTGTTTTCCCCATTATGAGATTTCTTTATCTATGGATTTGTTTCTTGCAAAGTTTGTGATTTGTGGCCATTTTTTGGGAAAATTTTGATGAGTTGTGGCTTTTCGTTGATTTTTTTTTTTGGGGGGGATTTTTTCTTATTATAGTTTTCTCTCTATTTCTATTTGAAGTTTAAAACTTTGCAGTTTGTTCTTCCACCCACTGTTTCTTGACTCTGTATCATCTCTCTCTCTAAATACTTTCTCTCTATGATCTTTGTGTCTCACGAGTATCTTCTCTGGTCTCTTCTCACTGTAACACGGGAGGAGCTGAACTCTGAGAACAGAGCAATTAGCATCTACTCTCTCTCTCTGTCTCAGTGAAGGAATACTGGAAAAGAGTAGGTTAATCAGTTCGTTATTGAACTAAAGATATGTAAAGCTTTTCTGAGTGTTCCATGTACCTTTTCAGATAAAAAATTCGAGAGTTCAGATTTTTGAGAAGTGGGTATTGAATTTTCGGTGAATATGTTTCCACATTTTACATGCCAATTTTTTTTTTGGTCTGTAAATAGTTCTTGGAATTGGGTGCTAAAGTTTAGGATATTATTAGCGAATGTGGCTTTAAATTTGAATAATTGGTACTTGCGGTTTTCAGGATCGTGATTCTTCTTCTGGTTGCAGGATTTTCTGCTTCCCATGTGATTGCTTACTGTGAATCTGTGAACTCGAGCATTGGAAGAAAATTTGGATGGAGTTAGAAAAGAATTATTGGGCTCTTGTGAGCCTTATGTTTGATTCATCTTTTGATTGCCAATGAAAGTTGGGACTTGCTTTTGATAAGATATTTCTGCTCCTGTAACTATGTTGTTATAGCACAAGGAATAGGTTGGTCCTTAATCCTTCATTTTGGAGTCCCAAAAGCAAGTCATTGTTGTTTGGGTCAAACCAATTAAGGAGACATATTTGGAAAGGTTGGTTTCTTGGATTTCTTCCAGCCTACTCCTCATCAGGTCACGTTGGTCCGCATTGATGTGTTTTAGAGATATGGCTGAAAGGTTTGGCACCTCTTGTGAACTTCACTAGAATAAGTTGCAATGAACCTCGATTTGCTTCATCTATTTGTAAAAGAAAGAATTGTCAGAACTTTGGATCTTTTTGTGGTAACATTATAACAGTCTAAGAAAATGTCAAATGGCTATTGAGAACATTAAGGAGAGTGTGAAGCTAGCGGACTACTGTTTGATAATTGGTGAAGTTGAGGAAGAAGTTCGTTTATGCATTCTCCAAGGAAAGGTTTCATTCCCCGAAGAGCAAAGAACTGGATGGCCATTACGTTTTTTCAACTTTTTTATAATTTGGTGATGATGGGTCCTTCCAGTTAATGGATTTGTACCCTTGGGAGTACGAAAGCAGTCACCCATTTTCCCTTTTACTGTGGAGGATATATGGTAGGGGTGCTTGAGGAGTCTTTGGATCCATTGAAAGCTCAAATGGTGGAGTGTTCTTATTATCTTATAGGGTGATTATTGAAAGTGATTGTTTGGCTATACATAAATCTTAATTGCCTTGCCTATCTCATTTTTGTTGTTTGGCACCGGTGGACATGCCTTGCTTTTCTGATTTTTGTTGTTTGGCACAGGTGGACATGCCTTGCTTTTCTGATTTTTGTTGTTTGGCAAAGTTGGACATTTGATAGCACGTAGTTTTGATTTATTAATAAGTAAAGATTATTTCTGTTTTAGAAATATATAGTGGTTTGACATATGGGGTGCTCCTATTTGGCAATTTAATGGAACTTATGCATTATTAGAAAATGCAAGTAAAGCAGTGTAAGGTGGGGTTTGGCTATTGAAAGTAATTTCTTTTTTTTATACTTTTGCTTCCTAATTACCTTTTTTTTTTGTACCCAGAATGAAAGTCTGGGACCATACACAAGGGATAGATCAGTTGACATTCATGGAAACCCTGTCTTGAGGAACAATACAGGCAACTGGAGAGCTTGCACTTTATTCTAGGTATCCTTTGCTAAAACCATGGTTTCTGTAAACTTATGATTCTCTTTTTCCTTTTATTCGTTCGCAAGTCGTAGACAACGTGATTAACAATTGACCTTGTACAGAACAGAGTTCTGTGAGTGCATGGCCGTCTCTGGAATTGGTACAAATATGGTCATTTATCTCACTAAAATCCTTCATGAAGACCAATTGCAGTGTTCTCTACAATTTACTTCATTGTACGTATGAACCATCAAAAATGCAAATGGCCCATTAAGCCATTCTCTTTTCTTTTTCTTTCTGATTATTACAAGGCATTCTCTTAATTTGTGCTTGCAACTAGAAGTATCGTTAGAGGGAGAGACCCCTTGTGCAGCCAATAAAGAAGAGACTATCATGTGAGAGAGAGAGAGAGTAAGAAAAGGGAATAGAGTATGTGTTATCATGTGATGGGGTATGGTAGACTCTATCATGTTTTCATAGGGTATGGCAATGGATATGTAGGCACACCAAGGGATTCGGCGCACATTATAAGGTATGTGCAGACACGTATGTGTGTGTGAGATATATGGGTAGATAGATAGATAGAGAGACAGAGAGATGAGTTTAGTGAAATGCTTGGATGATCAAATAAATTCTTATATTACTTTCAAGAGGACCGACTATTCTCTTCAGCACTTTACCCCAAAGTGCGTGAAAGTTCTATGGAATTTGATAGTTGTGATGGGCCTTGTACACCATGTCAACATTGTACCAAACGTCTTTCATTGTTATTGTAAATATGATGGAATTCAAGGTATTTTTATTAAAAATATTGGTCATTCTATTTTGGGAAAAGTTATATAGAGCCGACGCTTTAAACGATCAAATTTGAGCCTACCTCAAAAATTTCACTAGAAAATGTTGTTTTGATGCCCAAATATTATCAAATTGATCATCTTGACATCAAGATGCATGGACATGAGAAAAAAATGGATTTCAAGTTTTGAAAATAGTGTATTTTGTAATGCATTTTTGGATCGTTAATTTACAAGATTTTCAAGTTTTCATAGATGTGTCGATCTACACTATTTGTAAAGCTTTAAACTTTATAAATAAAGATAAAAATGTATTTTAAGGCTATCACAAAGATTTCTAATATTGAAATTGCATTTCTTGACACTATTTGAAGATAAGCTCTAATTTGATTGTTTAGAGCCTAGGCTCTATACAAACTACACCTTTCTTTTTTATCTTAAATTTATAATAAGCAGCATCATAGGTTTGTGACACAAAGGACACAGTAAAAGCTGTATTGTTCTATAATAGGTGTTATGTATATCATGTAATCTAGAAATAACTTATCATGGATTGTGTTCGTAGAGAGTGAGCGAGAGAGAATCATAATTTGACCTATAAAATTACCGAAAAATGTGAGCTGAACCATTTAATTTATTTCTTATATTGTTGATAACTTATTTCCAAACAATATTTTTAATTGGCCATGTATTAGTACGGAATCAACTTATAGAATCAGGGGCTAAATTGCATTAATAGCAAACAGCCAAAACCTGGTTCTCATTTTCTTGGTACCAAACAGAGTAAAATACCAGATTTTATATATTGGATTCTTCCAGTACTCAGTCCAAAACAACATTGTGATCAAAACTAGCTTTCATATATAATAGAATCAACAAAATCTAAGAGAAGCCAAGATTTTTATATACAAGGTCTCAAACGACCCATAAGAATACCAAGCTTGCTCGACTTCATCTGCTAAGGCCGGATCTCCTCATACCATTGGGCCAGTTTTGCTCATTCTTCACTTTCCTTACACCTCTCAGCAAATTCCGCCCATCTGTCACAGCCTTAGCCCGGCCGTGCGGATCCTGGAATGGGTCGTGAAGTTAGAGATTCGGGCCGAAATAGCCTTCTCCTTGCAATCATATTTAGATTTTAAGCTACAAAGTTAAGCAAGTGCTTTCGTCAAAAGAGACCACGCAGCATCGTGTATCTCTCGTTGTTTAGACTCCGCATCAAGGACATCACCTGTAAGAGTACAAGAGAAAGTTCATCATACTATGGAATTTATAAAAAATGAGGATGACCAAATTTCGTAAAATTTCAGCAGCATCTCTCTTAAAAATAGAGATAGAACGACATAAAAGGTGCTTGACTAGGCCAAGACACCCCGAAATATTCAAGGGTGACTATACTAGAAGGTCATGCCCATCTAGGATGTGCCCTAGAAGAGCCCCTTTTATTAAAAGAAGCATGGAAAGATATGGAAGAGCATGCAAAGTTATGTCAAAGCATGGAAAAAGCATAAGAAAGCATACAAATTCCAACAAATAAATGAAAGAAAGCGATAAAAACAAGCTTACATCCCTCATATGCTCAAGATAAGCTCACCATGAGACCTAAATGCTCCAAAAGCTTACTAAACCCACAAGCCTCTCAAAGCCCCTTTCTCTAAGGTGCTCCCACCACTTTCTCTCTCTAAAAGGTAAGAAAATGAGGAGAAGTGATGAAAATGAAGCCTCCCACCCCTTTTTATACTTAGGTAAAAAGCGAAAATGAGGTAATTATCAAAAGCCCAATCCCAAAAGGGCCCACCCTAGCTAAAGTGTCCTTTTGAAGAAGGTGGAGGGCAAAAGTGTAAGAGGGAAGGAGCCAAAAGATATCCCTTGCCCATCACAAACCTGCAGGGCAAAAATCCCCGAGGGTATTATTGTCAGAAATGCTTATACGACGTCGGAATCGAATGGCATCGGGCCCATTGCTAAGATTGAGCCCAACCTAGTCAAGAATGGCTGGGCTTGAGATGAAAGAGGGCCTCTGGCCCAGCCCGCCAGCCCAAGAAAAGGGGGGAAGGGCCCCCAATCTTTTCTCTTTCTCTCCTCCTCACGTCTCTCTCTTAGGCCGCCTGGCCTGACGACCTTCTCTTTCCCCCACTCTACGCTTGTCTCTATACCCCTTCTCTGGCTCGGGCCAAGCGCCCTAGCCATTGGCCCGACACCCTCTCTCCTCCCCTTTTCTGTCTCTCCCCTCTACTCTCATCTCTCTCTCTCCAAATAAAGGCCCATGGCTTAGCCGTGGCCACAATCTCTCTCTCTCCCTCATTCTCGCCTCGCTACCCCTTCCCTTCATCTCTGTACCTCTCTCAAGCCCACGGCTTAGCTGTGGCACAATCTCTCTCTCTTTTATTCTTGTCTCTCCTCCTTTCATCTCTCTACTACCCCCTCAAGCCCACGGCTTACCCATGAGCACAAACCTCTCTCTCTCTCTCTCTCGTCTCCATCCCTCTTAAACCCCACTTCTCCACCATTTCTCTTAACCTCTCTCACGAGCCCATGGCCTAGCCATGAGGCCGAGGCTCGCCTCACCCTCATCTCATAAACCCATGGCTCATCCATGAGCCCAACGCACCCTTATTCACTCTCATCATATCCCAACCCATTCATTACCCTTCAGCTCTCGAGCCTTATCCTACACCACATCTCCACGGTTCACCCGCTACCATCCGCATGATTTGACACATCACCCCCATCCTCCATAAACTCACTAACCATGAGGGTGAACCTTCACTACCCAAAGTCAAACAACAATTCCCTGAGCCTACCACTCCCCTAAAGAGTCGTGTCGCTCATCGTCCTCAGTGAGTCTCTACCTCAACCATTCCATGAGATAAACCATTATCCCCAAGGAGTCTCCATCTCATGGAGCAAACTATTACTCCCTAGTCAAGCCATACCTTTGCCTCATTCATACCTTCGAATGGCCACTCTTAATTTACCATACCACTACAGTTGGCTCGACACTCTATCATCATTTAAAACCACGAATGAGCACTCCCATGTAAACCAATTCCATCCCTAGTGTCCACTTTAAACACCCTAATCAAGACCTTTGATAGTCACCCAGATGAAGTATTTCGCTAAGGACAGACTCGTCACCAATAAACCTGTGAGTGGCCACCTCATCCTACCACATCACTCCCTAATCGAATCATCATACCCTCGAATGGCTACTCCTTTGCCCTTGAGGTGACCCAATACCCTTACTATACACTAGACATCATTCAAATTCTTGAATGAGTGTCCCATCAACCACATCACCCACAGTGGGGGTTAATTCAAAACCCTTATCTCCCCAAATGAGCCTCATATCCTTCATTAAACCCTCACCTCCATCACCACCACCAATAAAGGGTTATTCCCATCATACATCCTACATTTCATCATCAGTTTATAAGAAAAGTGAAGAAAAGAAATAAAAGCGGACACAACCATGAAGCCATGGGTAAAAATGCAAAAAAAATTAGAAAATCGGGCATGATAAAAACACAAAAGGCACCATGAATAAAAATGAAGATGGGCGTGTCCACGAAGCCAAGACTAAAAGTGTCCAAAAATAGAAAAGCAGGCATGGTGAAAACCGAAAGGTCGCCATGAGTAAAAATGAAAAGGTCGACATGGCCATGAAGACCCAGGTAAAAGAGCCCAATAAAAAGGGAGTTGGTGAAAACCATTTTGCGATGCCACTTCCACCTAATTCAGGTGAAAACTCGAAAGGGTGCTGGACTAATAAGCTGGTTGATTTAGTACTCACCCTCATAGGCAGTTTCAAGCAGTTCCTCTATGCAAAAAGTCCAGTACTATGGGAGTCAATACCCCTCACAAGGGTACCGTACTATCAGAACCAAAAAGAGCTTAAGAAAAAACTTCAACAACTCGGGTCAACCTTCAAAGGGCTCTTGAAAGTCAGAAAATCACAAAGGTGGAAAATCAGATCAGCTTTATGCTCAAAGGATTTCCTCCTCAAGAAGTCGATCATAGCAAAGTCGTGAAGACAATTTGGGCTATTGATTGCCAAGCTTGATCAATACCATCGACAAAACGGGTAATCGTCTTATTAAGGTTCCCAATTGCTGACCAGTTTAGATTTTCAGGATGGCCACTAAAAAGCCCCTAACTAAGCTCAGTAGATTGGGGCTCAAGCCCTAAAGAGGTCGTCTTATTAAGGTTCCCAATTGCTAAGTGGTTTAGATTTTTGGAGATTGGGGTTTAAGCCCCAAGGAGGTATTCTCAAGTCAACCAGTTCAAATCCTGCTATAGCAGCTCACTCGCCCGCCGAAGCAACATTTACTGAAGTGGGAAGGAAGCCCTTAAGTAAGGTCCCCATCAGTGGAAAGGAAACCCTTTAACAAGGCCCTAGTTGTTAGAACCAAAAATGCCTATTGAAGTGGGAAGCAAGCCCTTAAGCAAGGCCTCAACCACTGGATAAATTAGAGTATTGATGAATTGGGAAGGAGGCCCTTAAGCAAGGACCCCAGCCACCAGTCTCCCTAAAAATGTTCGAGCATATTGGGAAGCAAGCCCTTAAACAAGGCCCCCAATTGTTGGAACCAAAAATACCTACGGAAGTGGGAAGGAAGCCCTTAAACAAGGTCTCCACCAGTGGATAAATTGGAGTATTGAGGAATTAGGATGGAAGCCCTTAAGCAAGGCCCCCAACCACTAATCTCCCTCAAAACGTTCGAGCAGACTGGGTCACAAGACCTTAAACAAGGGTCCCAGTTGTTGGAACTAAAAAGAGCTACTAAAGTAAGGAGAAAACCCTTAAGCAAGGCCCCCACCAGTGCATCAAGCCTCTTCTCCTCCAAAGGTCCTAG